ATCTTGAAGAACCAGTCTGCCTTAGCAAGGTTCCTTGGTTTCTTCTTAAATATGCAAGATAAAATATTTTGCACAAGGAGAAAGACACCTTGCTAGACAAAGGATTCTTGTATTTCAAGTCAAGTGAGTAACTACTGAGTGCGCCTAGAGATTCATTAGTCTAACACTACAAACTAGCTAAGGAATAATTTTAAAAAGAATATCTGTAGAAAATTGCATACTCTTCTAGAATTCTATTCTATCATCGCCTCAGAATTGACTCTCTAGTCATGACTTGCAAGATAATGCTTACATATGAAAACCTTGAAATAAATTAAAGTTTGAACATTTTTAGCAATTAACGGTGAGGTTCTAGCATCAACTGCAGCTATTTCTGTCTGTAATAAATGTGCATATGTATTTTGCCTCACAGTGCCATCTGCTGATCACTTAATATCTCTGCTCTCTAAGAATTTTTATTGAAAACTTGGTTGGTTTTATTTCTACAGGGCCAAAATAAATTATTCAGCTTGAAATGATAGCTGTGCACTTACACAACTTCAGAGCTAGGCTGAAACAAAAGCCTCAAGAAGTTTTTTCCCCTGGTGCTCTTTCATCTTAGATCATTCATTGGGTAAATCTCATGATCGCAATCATTAATATTCAAAAAATGAAGAAAGACTGACAAAAAAATTAAACAAAGTATAGCACCATTAATAACAGCAAAGCAAGTGATAATATAGTAATTTAATTATTTCCTTCAAAGCTCCTTAGGAAAATGGAGGTAACGAACCATATATGAAACACGCACAAAACTTATGATTGCTTAACATAGCTGTTGTTGAAAATACACTTTCCTAATAGCGTACACAAATCTAATTTGGAGCTTACCTGTAGAATGTTTTTACTTTGTTGTATGGCAAGCATCTAACACACTGCTTGTAGATCTTGTTCTCATCTGCCTCTAGCTCTGCACCACACTTAGCACAACCCGAATAGGTCATCATGGGCAGAGAAGCCAAAACGCTCTCCAGGGAAGTGTTAGCATTGAAGATGAGTTGCCTGTAGTGGCCCGTTGAAACAGTAAACTTCAGCTCTAAGATATGGGCTTTCAGTTGAATCACTCCTACAAAAAATTTCAATCAAATCTGCATTCAGTATAACACAGAATAGCAACAGAAAGCAAGAGTATAACACCCGATTCAAAAACATGATTATGAAAGTTTTCTGCACAACATTTTTGCTTTTGAAGCACATTCATCTTTTCAGACTATTTCTGCAGTGAAAAGTTGCAGTAAAATATTAACTCCAAAGATATGTATTGCCTTTTTAGATACTACTGAGATGGATACCAATATAGATAGATCTATATAAAAGATAGATTAAATAGCTGCACAACTACTTTCCATGGCCAACAGAACCAGCAAATTATCCAAATCATTWTTTCATATTTGAAATAGTTGATTTTGACACACAAGATGAGATGGTGTCTCTTCTAATGTTACACCATAATGGAAGAATAGAATTCTGTGACAGTGCAAATTAGATATTCTTATTAAAAGAGTAAAATAAAAGTTTCATTTTCCTTTAAGTCACATGAACACAACAGAACTGAGTTAGAAACTGAGCCCAAGTACATACAATGAAATTGGAGCATTCAAGAAAATGAAAAATCATTTGATAAACTCCTATAAATTAGTATACAAAAGCTACTTGGTCATTTTCACAATATATAAAMCAAAACTGTGTGGGTTTTCATGGATAAAATACTACTTGGAAATAYGTCATTTGGATCAAGTATCTGATACATTATATAGGTTTGCTCACTCCACTAGGAAACTTAATGAACCCTTTCCAGACTTAGTGCTCAAAAAGAAGGTATAACAATCAGAAAATAATCTAATAACCCATGTTTAGATTTCATAAAGGAATTACTTTTCCACCATCTTGATTCAGAGCGAGACAATAATAAAATCTTTTTAACACCTTAGTTCTCTGCTATCTAATTACACATAGATAACAACACTTATCTAGCTTTATATGGCTGCTGCAAAGGCAATAGTGTCAGCTCAATAAGTTTTGGCATTTGCTCCAGAAGTTTCTTCAAGAAGGATATTTGATTCTTGCAATCATGTTCTAGAGAAATAGAATTCCATTAACTCTTTCAGTGATTAATTCCATAACTAAAAGAGCTGGTATGTAGAACAAAAGGTGGAATTTTTCTGTATTTTCCAAAGCTACCTTTGCATGGTACTAGATCACTGAATGAGCATGGTTTGGCAGTGAAGAGCAACAACCAGAATAAACTCAGGCTCCCAAAACAATTCTAACAAAACAAAAAGCATTTTCATGGCATAACGATATACATTTTGCTGCACTRTATGAACTATATATTGGCACTGCACTACATGAATACTACAGAGTTGCAAACAACAAATTTACCTGAGCATTTTTCTTCCAAATGTGCCGAGAGATTTGTCATTTTCAGGAGGGATGTTTTACTTTTCTGAAACTTTTCTTTAAATTCAATTGCCCTTTTGTCATCATCAAACAAGCACTCACAGGATGACCATGGAGTTGTGTGCAGTTCAAAGTCACCTGAGACAGAACTATGTCGGACAAGAAGGTATTTAAATTCCCATACATGCTCTACAGAAAAAGATAGAAAGGAATAATTTTCAAACATTTAATTATGCTTTGAAAACTGAAAACAGAAAACAAACTACCTATAACACTGACTAATAACTCAGTAAAACATTTTAACATCAACATCTTTGGCAACTTTACTTCCAACCTTATAACTATGTAATACATATCATTTATTCTTCTTATAAATGTTGAATGAGAACCTCACAGTTGTTTAAAGCCAACAGAAAATTATGCTTTCATCAGTATAGAGAAAGCTTAAAACATACTCCAAGTCAAATGACTTAAGTGATCATTTCAAAGTTTCAGAATGATAGGCAATGCTAATAATGCAGGATTTGGGATAAAACAGACACAGACTATAATTTCTTGTGCTTTAAAATATGTATATTAATTTTTTTTGTTGTCTACAAAAAAGTTCAAGACACCTTTAATCAAACATTTGTTCTATCAAAACAATAACATGCAGAGATAAAATGGTTATGATAAAAAGGATTTTCCAGGAAAAAGWTAGACAAATACAAGTATTTGAAATGAAACAAAAATATCCTAGAAGAATCAATATACTTATAAAGCATGACAGAGTTCAACCACTTCAACCACTTTTTTAGCTGATCTGGTGCTAACATTTGTCATATTTCAGTGTATCRTGCTTCCAATTACCCTGTCAAATTCCTTCAAGGATGGAACTGGAATACTAAGAAAGCTACCAATTACTTTACAAATATATTTTTCCTCCCTTAAATGAAATTTAATTAMCACACAAGGCATTTTCCATAATTAAATGACAATTAGACGCCAAGGAGTCATAGGTCTAAAGAGATTTCTCTCAATATTTATGATTTAGTACCACAAAAATTCCTCAGGACTCAAAGCAACACATTGAAATTGTTGCTAATGGTACTATTTTCAAAAAAGCATTTTTTAAATTAATATCCACCATATTGTCCTCGCAAAGACAGATGCAGGAATATTTAAAGGTTGAAAGGAAAATGTCATCAGTTGATCATTTTAAGGCAATGGACGGCAACAAGGAATTCCTGCTACAGTAGGTCAAAAAACTTTACCTTTTTTCATTTGAAGTTGAGGGCACCAAGCTGCCCCTGCTCCCCACAGGACCATCCTATAATGTTGATCTCTCTTCTGTTCTACTGTTAAAATAACTTTTCTTTCGCTTCCCCCTTTGTAGTTGTACACAGATTCTGAAAAAGTTTGAAACAACATCAACTTATTTTACTGGAAAAAAAATTATATTAATTTGAAAATGCCTCTGAACACAAAGATGAAATCATATGACTATTATTGTGATAAAATTCTAAGAAAACACAAGGTGCCCACAATTTCTTCAAGAGAAAATTGAAGGAAAACTTCCAATTTCTTCATGAACATGAAACTAATTTGAAATTCATAAAGAATATTAATTTAATTTTATCCAACAAGAATTTCTCAAGAAGCTAAGTATTCAGCAACTGGACACCTCCTTGAAAAATAGCAGTTATCTACGAGCATCTTTGAGCATCTCCAGCTTATCTTTGCTGGAAAAAGAATCTACTCAAAATACCTTAGTAACAGACTAAAGCAAAACTTTAAACTAATGTTTCTGTAACTGCTGTGGAATGTACTTAGGATAGAGATTTTTTCTAGAAATTCTCATATAAAGAAAACTAGCTGTATACAAACATGTTATGAAGATTAAAAATAGACTGAAACAATTATGATCCCTATGACATTCTTCATTCAGGACACTGTCTGAAAAATCATTCTAAAGATGTATTTCATAAATAAAATTCTTGGATAACAGCTCCTACTTTACATCTGAGGCAAGTTTTGAGATCCATATACAATAATGAATTAGAGATTCCTGCCTTGTAAAATTCTCTATTTACAGTGAACAAAGGTGGCATTTACAGCATGAGTAAGAACATTTCTTTCCTTGCAACACTAAAACAAGATGATAGTGCAATATGCTGAAATCCATCTAGGAAGCATTTTGTCAAATACTGAGAAAGAGCAACCAGAAACAGGAGGAAGGTCAAAACAGTTAACAGGAAAAAAGGAAATGGATGACTTCTCCAGGTGGTAAAGTGGTCTTTAAACTCTTTAAACACCCAAGGTCTATCAAAAAACTGTTAAGAYGCAGTGCATAACATACTGAGAAGATACCAGGATGACTTGCTCTTCATTTCGAGAAGTTGAGAAGACGCTAGGCAAAGGGCTATTTAAGGTCTGACTATAATGAAGATGGAAATGTTATGAATTTCACCACAGTAAAAAAAATTAAGATGGAAAAATGACCTCAAAAAAGGAATTCTGAAATAACTCCACTCACTTTAAGAAAAGGAATAATAAAAAAGTATAAACACATGGGTTCACAATCAGGATACCTCAGGAAARGATTCTTAGTAATAAAACAAAAACAAGCAAATTTGTTCCTGACAAAAAAGTTCATTCACTGTAATTGCAATAACCCCTTCTCAGCACTTCTGCTACAYAGGTGCTCCCCCAGAAGAGAACTCCTGCTGTCCACTCCACTTCTCAGCACCGCACTTCATATCAAYGTGCCTCGCTAGTGTCCAACCTTGCCAAAATTCATGTTGCCACACYGTTTAGGAGCTCTGGAGATGTTCAGACCTTCTAACTGGCCAGTCAGTACACTAGTAATGGTGCTCCCGACCTGAAACAGTGGTCAGGAACACTGGTTATCAGTGCTTTCGGCCTGCAGGCTTATCCCCCAAATGTGTTCGCTATTAGAACAGCTGGTGGACAAGAGCTTCCTTTCAGCAACTGATTTCAGTCACTATTTCCTTCCTGTCTGTAACTGAAGTTCTTTATTCACTCTCTATGAGTGGCTTTTTCCTGTGATTCACATCTGAAACACAGCAGTATTGAATGGGAAACAAACAACAGGTAAAATTTAAACAGTGACTGTTGCAAGGCMATTCTACAGTTGTGGAAGCCCCATGCATTAACTTACCTGTTAACACTGTGATGTTGATAATTTTTACGACCGAGTGAACTAATGTATTTGACTGAAGCTGATCTAGTGGAACATGCTGAACGTTGTCCAATCTCTGAACTTGTCTACATGGAAGGTCTCCAAAGTGGGAAAACTCTGATGATACATATGCCAATAAAGCATGGAGAACACCAACATCTCCTATATGATGAACTTAGGAAAAGCACCAAAATCAAAACCATGTTTCACGATAAATCTAAGCAGCCAAAAAATACAAAAATGTATAGTCCTTGATTCAAAAATAATTTTGCCTCCACTTGATAACATCTCAAAGTGCAAAAAGTCTACTTTAAAGCAGAGTATTCCTTTATTAGAAGTAGGAAAGCACTGTATTTTAACTTTGTAAGAACACAGGAATAACCATTCTTGACCATTAACCCCAGGATGTCTTAAACAGATAGCACCGATAGCAGAWCTTCCAATTATTTTCCACAAGCCTCCTATACTTTAAGTCACCTTAAAGTCCATGGTTAATAGTCCCTGCTGATTTTTCCTTGCTGATCAATTCACTTTTTCATTAAGCCTTCAAAGCTTCTACAGCTACAATTTAGTTCTTGTATTCTAGTATTTTGTACACTTCAATTGATCATATTTACATTTTGGCTTGTACATAAAATAGTACTACCAAGTGGAGTACTTTAAAGGCCCATTTACTGTGATTTGGTGGAATCTCTTATGCATTCCAAACTTACATTGTTTTGGATTGAGAGCTGAGCAGTTGCCCAGGTTCAATAACTGACTGGTACATGTAGATTGCAGCATGATTTCTCCAAACCAAAGATTCTCATACACAATGATATCTATAACAAAAAAAAAACAAAACAAAAAACAGAAAAGGCAGAATCAGCAAGCAGGCTAATCGATCCACATATATAGAACATACTGAAAAGCACATTTCTGACTATAGATTCAGAAATCTTGAAACTAATTTCAGAACTGATGTTTCATTTTGAAGCTTCTTCCTATTCAAGTGCTACTCACTTCCAGAGCATCTCCTTGATTTTTAAATGTCCTTTTGCAATGTTTTTATTCCTTAATGAGATTTTGGTCGCTCTTATTTATGTGCAATCTATGTTTAATATTCATATATGTAATAGCCTTGCAGGAAAAGAAACTTCACATATTTCAGACAGACAATGTAAACAACATATAACACCATTTCCCAAGGAACACACACAGGAAAGCAGCATGATACAGGATCAATGACACTACTAAAAGTTTTAATAAGCACCCTTAGGTGCTTAGGGAAAAAAAAGCACCTAAGTCAAAGCTGTAGTTATATAGGTGCTGTCAAAGACTCTGCAGAGCAAGTTTTACATTCTGGCTGCAAAAATAACCTATAAACATATACCAAGCACACTGCTAGGTGAGCTGCTGGCATACTGATCTCAGCATCTCACAGCTGCCAGGGCTAAACACTGGCTAAGCAGCACAAGCAGGAGCCTGACTAGCTGATCACAGGTAGCAGTAGCAGGGGAAAGAGGCAAGTTACTAACAGAATGGAGCAAGCTGCTAAATTTGGACAACTGCATGAGACCATGGAAACGTTCAAATTCCACGAACTCCTACACAATTACAGGAATCAGCATATATGCAGTCTTTCAAAGAAAGAGAGAACACTTTTGAGAGAACACTTTGAAACAAAGTTATTTTTGAAGCTAGTAAAATCATTTACAAAGTCTGAGTCAATTTTTTAAAAAGTAGTTTAACAGCAGTTAATAGCAAACACTATATAGGCAAAATGGCCGAGGGCATAATAAAATACTATGTTTACATAAAAGCCCATTTGATGAGTTTTGGAATAAGAGTCTAAACAGAAGCAAGAAAAAGCGCAGCTTATCTTCAATCTCTAAAATACCTAGTATGGCAAAACAACAACTTTTTCTCTTTTAAATTCTAATAAAAATAAGCATCTTAAAACATAACTGTAATAGTATTCAAACAAGATTATTTTTACTGCGTAATATATGAAACAAAACGGCCAAATATAACCATTTTGGTGGTAAGCTTTGGTCAAATTCAACTTGAAATTAGCTGTACTGAAGTTTTCAGAGCACTGCATTCTTATGAGATACATTCTTTTACTCAGAGAGAATTTTGCTCCTGTTAGCAATCAAGACTATAAAGGATTAGTCAGAGCAGTCTTCATGATCAGCTGACATGTTATGAAAATGGTAAACTGAAGAAAGTGTTTTTTACCCAGTCTATCCCATTTACCCAATTTCTACATGAACCATCTAGCACTAGATTCTTCAAAGTATTTCCCCAAGACCAAAGCCAACAATTTTCTGATCAATCTGCTGGTCAACAGCAGAAAGACAAAAGCAAAAAAACCCATAAATCAAATAATTAGCACATCTTCCAGTCTGTGGCAGCACATGCACCTTAGCAGCTGTAATACCAACTGGTTAACAAATACATCTGTCTGCTTAAGGCACTTCTGTAGAGACACGCATTGCTACGCCTCAGACCAAAGACTCTACATAAATGAGGATCAGCAYCTGAAAATATTCCAATAAGGAATCTGAAGTGATCTTGAGACATTTTTTGATGATTAGMAGCACTTTCAAATTCATGTTCATAGTCTGTTCTTTTGGCATATTTTTCRGAGATCTTTGGAAGCAGCAACAAAGCAGATCTCACCTGTGAGTAGCACAATATCCCCAGGAAACACGGTGAGTGACCAAAAGGCAGCAGCACGCCATAGCACCACCTTTCTCTCAATTCTGGACTGGTCAGTAACTACAATGGTCGCCACTGGAACTTTACATGAAGATTTGGGTCTTGTCTTTATCTGTATTTCCTTAATGTGACAGGGATGTACTATTGCAACCAAAACATTGTACTTCTGATTTTTACAGCAGCAATTCTTAAGTAGTGATAGAAGGTGTTTTTGAATTTTTTTGATTTCTGTCATCCTCTCTTCATCCATTGTGATTTCAGGATCAGTTACAGAAGAATTCAGTTTAACTCTCTTTGATTTCATTTGCCTTTTAAATGGAGAATTAGAAACATGAAGAGAATCTTCAGACTTATAGGCTCTTTTAAAAACGCTGTTACAAGAACTGCTTACTTGGGAGCAAAGTATTCCTGAGCTGAAAGGTTCAATATGGATTTCATTTACTAATTGTTCCACAGGGGCATTAAGTTGTTCTTCAGATGCCTCTGTATTTTCATGAGCACTTCCTTCTCTTTTTGTAGCCTCAAAACAGAAGCTTTTGCTATCACTCTCAGAATCAAAAAGTTCAAGAGAACCTGTATACTCTTGCTCACATGCATTTTCAGTCACAGCATGACAGGTTCTGACATTAGGATTAAGACTGAAGTGTTCATATTGCCTTTCTTTATGTTTATTCTCTGTTTCTGTCTCCAGCAGTTTCATAGTTCTTTTCTGCATCTCATTTTGCATCTTAGTGTCACCTTGTGCAAGAACAGCCATCTGACTTGAAGTCATTACACTACGAAATTCAGTATCAGTTGACACCTCAATGTYTGAACAGTCATTTTCTCCTTTTGGTTTTGAGTCTTGATTTGAGGGAAAACACATATCCAGATATTGACTTAGAGGTTCATGGCAGTCACTTATATGAGCTGATGGAACATCTTGTCCCACAGATCTTAGATGAATGCTAATCTCTGCAGTGGAAGTAACCAAATCCAAAATTTCAGAGCACTTAACTTCTAGATGACTGACATGTCCTTCAGTGAGGTCAGAACAGCCATCTAATAGCTTTTCATCCCATTCATCTGCCTTTTCAGACTTTTGAAGATGGTGTTGATCTGCAGTCTGTTTTGCAATTGTGCTTCTGTCTTTAGATGACTCATAACCCAAAAACGTTAAACTGCCAGTCCTCCTAGCAGCAGTACCACTAGTTTCTGCCRAAGTTACAGGAGACGTGCAACACTCTTTTGCTACCATTAAGCCTCTCTGTTTACATTTCTGGGAGCAGTAAACATTTGGAGGAACTGCTAAGATTGTAGAGCTTTTGCCCTGACACATTAAGTGGTCAGTGCTTCTGCATTTACCAGAAAAAAGACCATGTTCATCACATAAAAAGTGGAGTTCCCTCCATTTTTCACCAGCAAGCACTGAAGTACTAAATTCTGACACCTCTAACTGGCTTGGAATTCTGGGTGCTCCAACAAAAACATGGATTTGAGGTCTTGTAGACATTTTGGACTGCTATTTACATTGATAAGGGTTGTGCAATAAATGTAATGCTCAATATTAGCAAATGTCAAACAGTGTTTAGAGTCTTTCTATGAATTCAAAAATATCTACAGATCAAAGTAGTTTTTCTAATAGCTAAAAGAATTAATACCACTTTATTCTTCAAAAAACATAAAAATGCATGCAATATAAAAATAGAAATTACTTACTGTACAATTTTCTTACATAAAACTGTTGGATACTGATCCCAAACATGTATCAGACACAGCATGTTCACTTAGTTTTGAGAAGTTTCAAACAATTTCTAGAAAGCTAAACTTCCTTTATTAACAATTTAATTATCTAAATAGAGTTCTGATGTTTATTTATCGACATTAGTAATTAAACACTCAAATGCAAAATCATTATCTAGRACTTCAATTTAAATCTTACAAAGTAAATGCCTATAAAAACCAATTCTTACAGAACRGCTATGACAAGTTAATCCCCTGGAAAGTTAAAAATTTAATTAATTACTAGGTAACTAGAAATGGACTTATTTTGAATTAAAAAGGTTAGCTTAAAACACTATTTGATAGCCAGCCATCACTGCTGTTTAAGCACAAAAATACTGTATTAGGTACATACTTATTTTATCAAAGATAGGTTTCAAGAAGCTATCGATACATTTATAATTATTTAATAAGCAATGTGCAGTCACTGTGGAACCTAAGCAGTTGATTCAGAAGTAACTTTATTATAGAATAATGTCATACTGCTCAGGAAAGGACTAGCTTTTCTCTCATTAAAAATGTACCTGCCTTACAAGTCACAAAAAAAACCCTCACTACTTTCATAATTCTACTATACTGTGATTTTAAAGCATTTACAGACAGCTACCAGTGCTCATTAAAATGCAGGCACCTAATTATAACATCTGTGTTTTGGGAGCGGTGATAAGAAAATGTGCTGTAATAGGAATTCTGTAGCAGTAGTACATGCAGAACACCAGAAAGAATCCAAAAGCTAATCCAGCTGCAAAGAAAAGAGAAAACTTTAAAACAAACACATCAATGACAAATATGTGCATATTTCACTTGGCATTAAAGTCAATTTCTTAACATTCCACTAGTGGTCGCTGAGCCCTCATATTCAAAAAGCTCAGCGTAACACATCACAGAATGGTTGAGGTTGGAAGGGACCTCTAGAAAGTCATCTAGTCCAACTCCTCCGCTCAAATAGGGACACCTACTGCATGTATATAACAAACAAAAACAGTATTAACCTCCTGAAATCCTCAACTCAAATATATAACTGGAAAAATAATATACAACCACAGAAGCTAGATATATTCTGTCATATAAGAAGCTACAAGACACAATAATGTTGCAATTAGCCTGCTCTTCTCATCGTAGGAGGCTATCAGGTTGGTTAAGAATGATTACCTCTTCGTAAATCTAATCCCACAAATTTAAGCAAAATATTTGATGCCTGCATATTGGAAAACTAAAGCTTCAAGAGGAAATGGCCTCAAGCTGCTCCAGGGAAGGTTCAGGGTAGACATTAGGAAGAATTTCTACATGGAAAGAGCAGTCAAGCATTGGAATAGGCTGCCCAGGAAAGTGATGGAGTCCCCATCACTGGCAGTGTTCAAGAAAGGTGTAGGGACCACTTAGGGACATAGTTTAGCAGGTATGGTGTTAAAGGGTTTACAGTGGGACTCAATCTTGAATGTCTTTTCCAACCATAATGATTCTATGATTCTGTAAGTTCCAGGGGAAAAAAATCTTAAATTTAAGTGAGTTAAAACATGCCCAGGACTTTATTTGCTTACCTGCTTTCTGTGCCCTCAAAGGAAGCTTATTAAAAATAGAGCCCTTTCTAAGCTTTCTTGTAGAAAAACGGAGGTTCAGTGTCAGTATCCAGAGTTATGAAATCATCAAAAATTTCTTGATTAGTTCTGAAGATACTGGAAAGACAATCTGGTTGCTGAAAAGATAATTAAAACAGCGCATTTAAAAGCCAGTTTATAACAGGGAGTTGCAACACATTTCAGATTCTGTATCTACAGAAAAGGCAGTGCTATCTTGTCTCTCATTTCCCCATACAACATTTACAAATTAATAAAAATAAGTAAATTCAGATGTTTTAGACTAAAATTTACCTCAAATTTCAATTCTATTTCCTATTTCTTCTTGATTCTTTTTTTGCATTTGGTATATTACATCAGAACAACTGAATCTTGATATTACCTAAAAAAATTCAACTTAAAATTATTTACATTTTAAAAGCCTTAAATCTTGATTTTTAATATCTTCAGGTCTTAGGAACATTAGGGGACCTTCATCTACTTCCTGGTTCATCTTACAAGTCTAGAGCAACTCGCTTAGACAATTGCTAAATGACTTATTAGATCAAAGATATCAAGCTGCAGTATCAGTAATCATCCATATTTATAATCATTAAAATCTGTAAATCATGGTGTTTTATTATAATTTGAGTAAATTTTTTCCATGTAAAGTTCTTTCAAGCATACATCGCAAATTCTCTGCCTTGGTTTAAAAGAATAAAACTTGAAGGAAGATTAACATCTACCCTTATTACAGAAAGGGTTACAGAACATTTTTCAAAATGAACAAAAACCCATCAGCCTCATGCATAGGAACATGTCATTATCACAAAACTAATTTTGACAATGTAAACTATCTGTGGATAGACAGAGGGTTAACTACACCAGCAGCTAAAGCTCAAAGACATAACTGAAGCTTCAAAACATATGTCCATTATATCTGTTAATTATTATACACCTTTAATTGTGAAGGAGTTCTATTCCTAACAGCCAATGAAAACCTAGCTTTTTATCTCTGAAATGGTCAGAGTCTGATTGACGGGTCAATGATCTATTAGAAAAACTAGTAACTACACTGACAAGTGCTGCACTTGCAAGGCACTGCAACTAAATATTAATATTACTACTATCACAAATTTATGACAGCATACACCAGTTTCTCCAGCTCTCACTCTTTACTCCATGACTTCCCACCTCTATAGCATCAAGAGTCAAAAAAGGCGAAAAAAAACACCCAACAGAACCCGAGCACCCACTATGTTTCACAGAACTTGKCACAGGAAAAAAAAAGAATTATCCATGATCATATTTGGAGTATTGACTCTTAGCTAAATTCAAGACACTGTTTCTCTCTAGAGGAAAGCCCACATTACATGACAAAGRAGAGGAAAACTAAGGCATTTGCCAACCAAGGGAGAAGTAGAACAGAAGCAAATCACTGAATGCAAGATTCTCATCACATTACAGAAGACTCCTGACACTTTTACCATACCGTTCAGTTCTTCCTCCAGAATTTGTTTGCCTTTTCAAAAACAAAGTTCTGTCACTGTACTTCCATGTGCTACATCTATGATGAACATACCAGGTGGGCTTAAAAGATTATTACCATTCTGTCACTGAATGGCAACCCAAGGGATATATAAATGGTAGTTTTACACTGTAAACTGCTTGGACCTCTCAAGAAAAAAAATATGCATGTGTGAGAAAGGGAGTACATGTACATATGTGCAGCTGACGGACAGGACAGATTCTTATTTTTGCCATCCTAATTTCATTTATGTTCAATTCCTTCCTTATATCCATTTGGTGGTTGTGACATGCTTCACAAGTTTTAATCCAAGCTCTCAGTCAACCGTCATAGTTTTATTTACTAAAACAAACAATTTAACTAAAACTAATTTTACTCCAAGCTAGTTATTTTGCTCATATAACTAGTATTTCTAGAATACTGGGCACAGAGCTCTGCCCTTGAACGGATACTGTAGTATAGCAAAAACTTTGATAGTCAATACCTAGATTTGTGAAATATCACAAGCCTCCTTCATCTGCCTCTACAGTACAGTGATTAAGATATATTACCTCTAAACGCTATTAGAATATAGATTATTATGAAGCATAAAGTCATTTCTTTAAATATTTATATTAAAAAAATCCCAGTATTGATCTATTTAATATCTCATTTTTGACAATGAAAAGTAACACAGCACCACGATACCATTTGACCTCAAGAAAGATACTGCTGTTTTACAGACATAAAAGGCACATGTGGCATTAAATTGCAATAAAACAGGAGCACTCAGATATACTTTCAATATAGCTACTCTAACACTCTTGTAAAGGTATCGGGCTTTTATAATTCCCATGACACTAGSCCTGCCTTTTTGTCCCTTACAAGATTTTATCTTAAAAAATAAACACAATTTATTGATTTTTGTTTTGCAATACAAAAAACACATAATTAAGAGATAGTASAGATATGAACATACAGTGCTAGTTACAAATAAAAGAAGTTAAAAGTTCTTCAGAACGGTGACCTCCTAGGGAAGAAAGAAAGATAACGGTAAAAGGTAAAAGATAAAAATGCATTTCTCAAACTCCTATGTTTGAGGTTTTCTTTTTTTTAGAAAATTAAATACTATACCTTCTATCAAAGAAAATCAATATCGTAAAGTATTCCAAGAACTCACATTAGCGTGACATCATCACGTTTTTGTCAGAAAAAAATTAGGTTCACAGGAAATTATCAATAGGTAACAATGCAATAAAAGCTTATTTTAGGACTTACCGTTTCTGATAAACTGACATTAATAAAGTAATACAGAAACTAAAATTAAAACGAGGCAGCTGGTCTCACTCAAGATCAAACATGGTCATAACAAYTCTATTTACAGCACATTAGCAGCTACAAATTTGGTCAGGATGGGAAGATAAAAAACAATCCTAAACCAGCATTAGCCTTTTTTTCTGCTTAGAGGAAAAGTCTTTGCTGCTTTCTTAAACTGAAGCAAGCAGGAGACTAGAAAAAGTTTCTAAACAGAATACTTGATTGGGCTTTAATAGATTTGTATAAAATCTATTTCTAGACAAGAAAATCATTTTGGTTTAATTCAATRATATAAGCACCAGAACACCATATAATGTTATAAAAATAATCAAGTAGATCTTCCTGCACAAATTCAGTATTTTTCACAAAAGATTCTTATTTAGGGTCATAACTTCAACCATTTTGTGTTAAGAATATAGAAGCTAATATTTCCAATTTTAGGAAAGTTATTAGAAGCCCTCTTACATACATCACCTTGTATTAAGTGGCTATAGCATATAGGCAGCTGTAATGAAAGCCTCTTTAAATTGCAGGTCATTTGGAGGTAGGAGAAATAAAATTTGTTCAGCCATATTGCATGTGACTTCCACTCTATGGCAAACAAAAAATCCATATTCAACACAAAGCTTTCACACAACCTTTGCACTTGTATATGATGTTGACTCAGAAAAAAGGTAAGACGGATAATAAAAATGGAAGCAAATCACACATTCACAGGCCATTGACAAGATATGCCCATGTTTTGGGCAACATTAGACAGGGCTATGCTGGTGCCTGCATACTATATTCAGCCCCATAAGGAGACTGAAAAGGTATTAATTTTCTAATCCAGGATAGATTGGAAATCTACTAGTGTTAGTAAAACATTGTTCACTTCCTACCACAAGTAGATACATTAGCTAACAAAAGTTACACTCTTGCACTTTTGAAGTGGAGTAACTTTCCTATTCTTAACACTATTAAGGTATTTAAGGTTAGATATTTGTCAGCTGAAAAAAAACACCCACACACATACACAAAAGGCCACCTGGGAACACACAAGTCATGCCTAGATCATGCCGTGCTCCATGGCTGTAAAGCCAGAAACTGCACAGACAGTTCCAGGAGAAACCAGTGGGGACACCAAGCTCACAACACCTCTTTTGGACCAACAGCTCAATCAAGAGTTCCTTCTCTCACTGTTTGCTGCACTACAGCAGCAAATATTTAACCTTCCTGCAACCAGAAAGAGCAGGGTTTTTTTGTTTGTTTGTTTTGTTTTTGATAGGATTGGTGCCTTGTGTTTCAGGTTATCAGACAACTTCCAAAGAAACTGGCCTTATCAGACCTTGTCTGTTCTTTCCCTACTTTGAGCCACATTTTACACAATTCTTTAGTATACCACATATTTCTTGGGGTATCATAAGCATATTTTCCTTGGGTTCCATGTATTTGATTGTGATATATGAAACATTTTAATGAATCCGCAGTCTCAAGAAAGTACTTACACACATACTTCTGATGTTAGCATGATTTTCAAATTAAACCGAGAACTTTTAGCTACCTAGTAGTGATTTTTTATGCAAATCTCTAGATGTCTGCATTTCTGAAAATGCCAAATTCCTAAGTTACCTATTTTAGGTTGGTTTGTTTTTTTGCTCCCCGCAATAAAGAACACGCTTCAACCTTCACAGCAATGAAAAGACACACTGTTCTGTCTAAAGTCTTTTTAATACTAAAATTCTTCGAGAGATAAGGCTCCCTCAAGGAATTACAACATTCAGACTTGGTCCAGGCTGGCTTTCTGCAATAGCAAATAGCACTACAAAGATCATATATGGTTCACTGCCTACACTTGCTCTTTATTGTGGCTACACAAGTGGCAGGCCCACTGCACAGCACTGCACCAATGTCAACCTAGCAAGTGCTCTTTCACATGCATTATGGATAAGGTGCAAGGTTGTTAATTTACTAGAGCACTCGAAAGAAAAAATAATAAAAATATTTCAGAATATCTTAAATTAATGAAACTGCAAAAAAAATCCTGGAGAGAGGAAGATTAAATGCTATAGCCAAAAAAAGTATATGATACATGAAAGAAATTGCCATTAACTTTTAATATATAAGCTTTTACCTTTCAGTGGTCTAGGTAGACATTAGTTTAGCAAACTAGTCAAGCTTTAACAGAGAACAGCTGACACTGAGTAACTATCAACACAGCTGACTGAAGCAAAGGTGCCTTTTAAATGCAGATTGCCCCATTTGAAACATCAAGTTAAGTTTTTTTCCTATCTCTCATCTAAAACATATTTTAGGGCAGTCATGCACATTACAGGC